TTCTTTTCCTTTCTTTTCTTTTCTTTCTTGTCTGGTCTTTAATTCACTGGTCTAGGGTTTTAACTTTTAAACTCTGCCTGTCTACTATTAAGTTGAATATAGAAGTTTATGTGTTTTTTTTTTTAGTGCTACTTTTTTTTTTTCAGTTGAGTGGGGAGGAGAACATTCTTGAGTCCTGATGACATATGAGGCCCTTCACTTAGGCCCTTGTATCTGATTTTCTCTACAATCCTGGTAAGGACAAGGGGTTTTCTTCATTGAGCCCTGACTTTGAAAACAGAGAATGCAGGACAGTTCTGGAGTACTTGAGGAACATTTCAACTTCCATTTTTTTCTTTCATTGTGTGTGGTGTACATTATAATCAGAGTAGTACATATACGTAATTTATAAATCCATGTATTTGGGGTGTAGTCTCAAAATTTCCTGCGAGCACTGTGGCGTGGTCAGAGCAGTGTGGAGCACCGTTGGGAGCACAGCAAGGCGGGGGGCTTTCCCGCCCACCGGGCTCTCCGAGGAGTATGGAGTGAGTTGAGATAAGATAAGGGTTTTGGGCAGAGACCATACATAGTAAACAGTATTATAATATTCATTTAGCCACTTGTTATTTCCTACGGATACTCTTTATTTATACTCAGTCTCCCTTGGATGGATTTACAATGCTAATAAATAGACACTTAGTAAAACAAGATTTTTCTTTTTCAGTGGAGGTCTGAGCTGGGGAAAGGAAATCGGAGTGAGAGAGAAGACGAAGTCGGGAGTCAGGCTCACAGGGTTTTATTCATTGTGCTCACACGAGGGAAGACTGTTTTATTCTTAGGTTTCCTAGCGGTCTATATACAGAGAGAGACACAATCAAATACGTAAGATGGTGTTTGTAAGGTAAAGACAAAAACATGTACCTGTTCGGGGCCCAGAGGGACAGACCCTCAAGACCTGCCCATGCCCTGGGTCCCCGGCTGAGGAGGAACTCTGCTATCTGCGGGGTTTACATTTGATATCCATGACCCTTAGTTCCTAAACAATTCTGGACTAATGGTAGAGTTAGTTCCATTTTCTTTTTTGTGTTCCTTAAAGCCTGTAACTTGATTTATATCCCATCAAAGTACTTGTCGGGCCCTGGACTGAAACGGATTATTTTCCCTGATTCTGTATAAAGCGTACATTCAACACAGAAAGAACCTTCAAAAGGCAGAGAGGGGGTGAAAGAAAATTGGGAAGGAGAAAGAATGTAGTTTTATTGCAGAGGCTTATGTAGCAAAACATTTGATGACTGAATAGATCTGCCTGCTCCCCCCACCTCCCAGCTACCCCTTCCTCCTGGCTGCTCCAAGCCTCTCGCTGACGCCTGTCAGCCAGCCCAGGGGTTCCTGTTTTTAACAAGGCAGACGTCAGGAACTGCAAAATATTTCTTAGCCACAGGTAATTACAGAACAACTTTTACACTTTGAGCACTGTGCACGGCAAAGGGAGTTTCAAAACACACGACATGTGCGGTCAGAAGAACTTAACTGTGTGTGTATGTGTGTGACCAGTTTCTCCGCGTGTGTGGAATCTGTTTCCACACCATAAGGTGGGGTTGGTGGTTCTCTGCCCCTTCTTATGGTTGTGGGGGTCATGTATGTGTCCCAATATAGCTTGAAATTTTTTTTTGGTAATACTGTAGCCCTGTGCTTGTTACTACAGAGAGGAAGATAACACACAGTTTGTGGTTAAAAAGAATTTCAGGCTAGGCAGAGAGTCAGAAGTAGCACAGGCGAATCAGTGAGCAGTACCAAACCTGCGTTACTACCACATTGTGAGCAGCATGTCACTGCACAGCTTGGTAACACGTGAGGCCTGAGACTGCGCTCATGTACAGAACCTCGTGTGCTGGGAGACCGGCTGAGACCCGGCGTGAGTGACGGGAGCAAGTCGTAATTGACTCCAGAAAAGTTCAAATGGCACTTATTTTTATAGTTCTAAAAAAATCATCATAGTGAAAACAGGGTGTGTGTGCTTTAAGTTGAAGGCGACTGGGTTACCGTAATTAGGAGTTTGGATTTCTGCTAGCCTGGAAGAAACACAGATATTTTTCAGTAGCTTGTCAATTGCTGTAAGAAACTGCTTTCTTTTTCCTGGAGATGGCGGACCTGCCCTACTTGGTGTGTTGCTGAGGTCACACAGGGAAACTGGACAGGTTGGGCCTTTATCCGGCCCTTTGGATCTGCCTCAGGGCTCAATCGTGGCCGAGCTGAGATGAAAGTGCACTGCCCGGGCTTTGAGCCAGGTGGGTGGATCCAGTGTTGGATCCCAGGCAGGAATCTTGTGAAGTGGGGTGATCACAGCAGAGCATCTTTGTGGCTGGGCCTGTGGCCTCAGAGCTCTGGCTTCTTATCTCTCAGGACCCTGGTGAGTGGGGATGGGGAATCCTGTCTCCCAGATGAACTTCATGTGGGCAGCGGGAGAGTCTTCTACTTACAGACACATCATCGACTCATAATATGCTGCTTTTGAAGTGGCGACCCCACCTGGGACTTCCCACCTCAGCTGCAGTTTCTGCACCTGGGCCTCTCTCCCACCCACGTTCCTTGTGCTCACTGCCGGGCCCTGAGTGTGTCACTCGTCGGGACCTGGGCACCGTGGCCGTACAGGGGGAACTGGACCCCAGCCTGTCCCTTCAGTCCGGGAGCCCGACCAGGCCACCCCTGCTCTCCCCAGCTGCTTCCTGGAACCCGCAAGTCCTGCTTTTGGTGCTGCCACTTGTACTGGGGGGTAGGGAAGCCCGTGTTCTCCCTGCTTGAGGTCTGAGTTGGGACTCAGGTTCTTAGAGGTTGGATTCTGAAGTGCGTGACACTTAGGGAAATGAAAGAGGAGAAATGTCACTTTGACTTTTTCACTCTAAGGATGTGTGCCCCAATATAAAACAGACACAAACTATCAAACCAAACCAATCACCTCCACTCCAGTCTGTAGATATTGGGGTAGCCTTGGAACCTAACTAATTATAACATGTCTGTGGGAAAAGCATCCTGAGTCCCAAACACTGGACTTATAAATGAAGGTTTGTAAAACAGACACAACTTATTAACGGGGTTATAATGAATAATTACCATTAATAAGCAACAATCTCACTAATAAACTAGAGTATGCCCATGAAGCACTAAGCACCGCCCCTGATGTATAGTAGCCTTCAGTAAAGTCAGCTGCTGCTCTCGCCACCAGCAGTGGCATTTTTAGGATCGAAAGAGTCATGCTTGCTATATTTATGCTCACGTCAATGATCCATTAAAACACATACACAGTGAAGGCTGTGATTGATTCCAAACATGTGGGGAGATGAGTATTAATACTCCTGAATAAGTACTTCAAAATGCTGGGAATAATGACAGATGGCGCAAAGCTACAATGGGTCTTATCACAAATAAATTTACACTTTGGTTAGAGAGACATAACACCAACAATCTTGAACCAAGAGCAATGAGATTAAATGTGGTGTCTGTGACCACAGCTGAAATAGAAGTTTGTTCATTTGCTCATTCATTGAATAAGCAAACATTTAGTGAGCACTTGGTAGGTGCCAGACACTAAGCTGTTCAGAAAAAGAGATCCTGGTGGTAGATTCTACTCTAAAGGAGGGAGGTTTCAGCTAAGCGGGTATTTAAGCAGAAAGGTAAGTATGGATAGGACGTCCAGACTGGGGCAGCAAGAGCAAAGGCAGTTTTAGAATCGGGGCAGAATGCCCTGGAGTCATGGCAAGGAAATTGTTTTGTCTTTACTTCTAACCCTTAAAGAGCGTTGTAAAAATAAACAAACCCCCTTTGGACCCTTTGATCCCAGATAACAGACTCTGTTTGGAGTGAGTTCACCAGCCTGCTGGTAAAAGTCTGAGTCCTCCTGGTGTGTTGGTGAAACAGCTTAATCCAGGCAGCTGGGTTCTGAATGCACTCTGACCCCATGCAGCCCCGTTTAAGTCCAGCAGCGAAGGGCCAGGGCTGCTGGGATCCAAACAGGGGACAAAGGGATCAGAGATCATGGTCCTTGTTCTCAAGGACACAAGCCGGTGTCCTTGGTGAACGGTGCTTACAAGACCATATGGCTCAGTATCGGAAGCTGCATCGTAGGGTGAGCATGGAGTGGAGGAAAAGTAGGTTCACAGTTGTGAGTACTTGAACCCCAGAGTTTATTCTTGTAATACTTATTACGTAATTGTTGCATTATTTACTATACAAACAGCTACAAACCTCATCTGCCCCACACTGTGTTGCGGCATCATATTCCTCCTTTTCTCTCTAGAGGGTCTTCTGTACTGGTTTTCTTTCTCAGAGGTTAAATTTTAATTCCGCAGCCATGCGGTCCTGCCCATGCTTGTGTTTTCCTTGCGCTGTTCACCCAGAGGCTTTCCATTCTGTGCCGCTGAGGAACAGAGTCGAGTTAGCCTCTCAGACTGTTGCAAACAGATGTTCCAAAGTTTATTCAAAAGACCAAATTCTTGGCTTGACTCTATAATCGTATTTTCATTTTTACAAATTTGTCTTCTGCATCTTGTCTTCATTAACCTTGGGGCTTCCCCACTCCTGCCTCCCATATACAAATGTTGTTAATTTAAAAAAAATTATTTAAAAGTTCAAAGGAATTGAGTGAGATACAAATTCTTTTGTGAGCAATTCATCTGCGTTAAAAAGAGAGGCAATGTCATCTCCAAGTCCTGCAGATACGCTGTTAATGCTCAGATACTCTTAGACAGCTTTTTCATTGTCTTCTTATTAGAGTTCTTTTCCTCCCCTGTAGGATAATTTAGCAGTTTATTTTTCCTGATAAACAACATTCTTCTAATTTACCAAAATACATCATATGAAACTTACTTTGATAAAAATCTGTGTGGATCGGAAAATATTCCCTTGATTGTGGAAAGGGCAGTGTGTGTGTGTGTGTGTGTGTGTGTGTGTGTGTGTGTGTGTTAACTCTCAACAGCCCCAGTTATGCCTGGCTTCCTTCAAAGTATTTTGGTCTCTCATTTCAGCCACAATTACAAGTTCATCCGAAAACGATGACCGGAGTGGCTCCAGTTTGGAATGGAGTAAGGATGGAAGCCTAAGGTTAGGGGTGCAGAAGGGAGTGCTCCATGACCGCAGGGCAGATAACTGCTCCCCCGTGGCAGAAGAGGAGCCCCCTGGGTCGGCGGAGAGCGCGCTGCCCAAAGCTGAAGCCTCAGCTGGAGATGGTCCAGTCCCTTATTCTCAGAGCTCCAGCTCGTTAATAATGCCACGGCCCAACTCAGTTGCAGGTAAGGCCACACTTCTCCTTGGAAGGTTATCTTACTGGGTCCGAGGTGCCCCATGTTCACTCCTGACACTTGGGAATCTGGTCCAGACACAAGCCAGTGTTGTGATCATGGGTCAGGCACTGGCCTTTTCTAGACCTCAGTTTACCCTCGTGTAAACACAATAAGGCTGCACTGAATGGTCTTTAAGTGCTCCTTCTGCTCTGGGATTCCTTACATCTGATATTCAGACTATATGGCCCTTTGTCTATGATAGAAGAAAGTACTGGAAATTCTGTCCTTGTTTTTGTTATTGGAAGCCTGAGTAAATTCATGACTTTGTATTACATCTTGGTAAACAGAATTCACGCTTTTGAGCGAGCTTGTTGATATCAGCTCAGAGTATCTAATCCAACTTCCAAACTTGGTTTTTATCACTGAGGCTCGGCGCAAAGGTCCAGTTTCTGTAAAGTTCTGTCAGAAAGGGTCTCACGGCCGACACGTAAGCAGCAGCAGTGAGAGCTCACGGTCGAGGAACTGAAACAGGGAAGGGGGGGGGGCAGCCAGACCTAGAAGAGGACCCAGCAGAGGGGCCTGTTGCCAGACGACTGGCCGCTGGGTGGCTGTCCAGCAAGGAGAGTGGTTTCGGGGCGGGTGGGACAAGGGGCAGCTTTCGTGCCTGTCTTTACGCCCTCAGTTTCTAAGCTCAGTGCCCTTGGGTTTAACTTAGAAGAGGAATATGCAGAGAAGAGGAAGTTGTTTGCTCATTTTTGAAAGAGATTTTTTCTTACTGATTTTAGAGAGAGAAACATTGATTGGTTATTCCACTTATTATGGATTCATTATTTGCTTCTCGTTTGTGCCCTGACTGGAGATTGAACCCACGACCCTGACGTATTGGGATGGTGCTCTAACGGACTGAGCTACCCAGCCAGGCCTTGCTTCAGTCATTCTTTGTCACCAGTGCAACGCTTAAAATCGCTCCTCCACTAACGCATGGACCCTGGATCTCTCTTCCTACATCACAGGGTTTTTCTGTGATTTATACTGCTTCTTTGGGATATGGCAGGTCACTCTGGCTGTTGTTAGGGATTTTTTTGTTTATTTTTTTTAACAGTGGAACTCTGAAGCAGCTGATAGATAAATTGTTCTAACGGAAAAGTTCTGAGACACAACTCTAATTTGCTTCAAAGGAAATCAGATGGCGTGGTGCCAGAGAAGGGGTTTGGCACGTCTGCTGGGGAGAAGTCCTGGCGAGCTCTGTGTGTGCCAAGTGCCGGTCCCTCCGGAAGCCTTTGTGTCCTCTCCCTCTGCCCCGCACTGCCTACGACACCGTCCGGGGCTCCCAGGGCACCGGAGACCATACTTACCTAGTTACGACAGGAGCTTCATTCGAATTACCCCAGAACTGGATAGCCGTTTGACTTCAACACAATAGCAAACTTGTATTCAGTTCTCATAAAGCTATTTTAAAATCAGTAAACACATTAATAAATTAATTCAACAGTGTTAAAAGCGCCCCACTTCGGGTGACATTTTCTGCCTGATCTCTCATGTGGTCTCCTGCCATGCGAAGTGACGCGGGTGTGAGCTGAGCGTTTCCAGGCGTCCTCAGTGATTGTAGAGCAGGGCGTTCTGGTTTCCGCCCTGTTCCTTCGTTGGCTTCTACGTGTGGGCTTGAGCAGGACCTCCCGGGCAGCGGGGAGGGCTTCAGCTCCGGCTTTGAGCAGTGACTGCCTGGCCTAATGGGGTGGCTCACTTCTTCTCTGTTGTACGCTTTATAAACTGAAAGCATGTTCTCAAAGGAAGTAGGCAAGTCCCTTATATCATAGTATCTGTTGGCAAGCTGGAAGTCTGGTAGATTTTTCATTGCCCACCCGCCTACCCCTAAAGCTGAACCTCAGTTAGGAGGGAAGGGCAAAATTTTTCAAGTATTATTGAAAAGAATAAAATATTCAGGTTGTCCATACCATATGCAGCACTGTCTGTGTGGTGACTGGGAGGCAGACTCCCCGAAACAAGGCAGCAGCAACCCGTGGTGTGAGGAGGAGTGTGGTGTTATGTAAGGGACCGTATACTGTAATCTCTCAGAAGTATTTGCACGTGAGACCCACGGACACACAAGTAGACGTCCATTTGCTAGGAAACATTGAATGATCTGATGTGTGTGCAGAGGACGCGCTGGCAGGCAAAGGCCTCTGTTCACACTGACGCTGGCCTCAGGGACCCCGTCCTGCTGGGCAGCGAGGGTGCGGAAGCGGGTTCCTGAGGTTGCCGGCTGCTATCGTCATCAAGCCTGTTACGGAGAACTGTGGTTGTCAGTTCACTGCTAGCCATTTAGTGCAGTGACACTTTTATGTCCAGGATTATAAAAGTAAGTTGGCGAGGTTTGGAGATCGACCGTACAGAGGTCTTCGTGAAGGAGTGGGCAGAGTGGAATCGGTTTGGAATGCTGCTGCCGGGCCAGTACTGTCCGTCACACCAGAATGTCCGGCACGGACACCTGTGCCTTCCTTTGAGAAATAATCAAACCCTTTAAAACGCTGTCTCACATCATTTAGAAGTTGGGTAATTAGGTTCTTCTATTTTTGAGTACTTTATTCTTCCTCTTGAAACACGTCCTAATTGGATCACAGAACACTGTTCTGTTTTCCAGGAAACCAACAAACATAATTACTACCTGGTTTTCTTAAAACTCTAACTGGTAATTGCCTGGACTTAATGGCATCTACTTTTTGTAGGTTAGTCCATGATGTTTCGGCAGCTGTTTCTCTTTGCTTGGCTCAGAGGAGTCTCCCTGCACCTCTCCTTCCACCCCCACCCCCCCTTCATTCCCCCCCAAAGCCTTTCCTGAACATACTCCAATGTGCTTCTCACCCAGATGTTGGACACTATGTGTGTGCAGTAAGTGTGTAATTAATTTGATTGTAGAGATGTTCTCAATAAGTTTATTGCAGCACGAAATTATTGCTCTACCTCTGATTTTTCTCAGCTCTGCATACTGTTTAGGGTCTTGGGAGCATTTAGTGTTAAATACCAGAAATGGGTCTGATTCTCCTATTGGTGGTCTCTGAGAACCCACTGGAGGCGTGCATGAGAAGGCAGTGTGGGGTCCCCGCACCAGCTCTACAAGGTGCGGATGCCTGGGTGCAGAGCTGGGCAGCTGGAGCTTCCCTGCTGCTACCACCAGTCTCTCTCGGTGGCTTTGCCAGTACCTTAGAAGGCAGAGGCAACCGGCAGCTGGTGGCCTGCAGCCCTGCTGAGCTGTGGTCCACCACGGCGCATATTACTCATATTTAATTGTGCAGTTGCTGGGACCACTTGTTGCACACTTTGGAGCTGAAACTGTGGGGATCAGAAATCTGAAAACAGGCATTTGAAACTCCATCCCCGGCATGTGTCAAACAAGGTGTTTTGGGCAATCTCTTCTTAGGAATAATTTAGCTCTTTATAGTCTCAGATTCTTAATCCTTGTCATTGTCACAAAATTATAAGCTGAATGTCACGCTTTAAAAGGTCAGAAGGAGATGGGAGATGGGAAACCCTTTGGAGGTTGCAAGCACCTTTGTGTTCTCCTGCACAGAAGCAGGAGGTCAGACATGCATGAACTGGCTTCTGAGCGACACTGTGTGTGATCTCTTCTACCTCAGCCTTGGACATGGGGGGTGTTCATGGTGAGGCATACTGAGGAGAAGGGGTAGTTGCAGAGGCCTGAGTCAGAGTCCTAGGCAGGAGCCCAGAATATGTTCCAATGTGTGTTATTCCAGGAAGCCAGGATGATGGGCGTGGTCCTGGTGGCCCACACAGCCTGGTCGTGAAGGACTTGCAGAGAAGCCAGAGGCTGCTGTTGGAGTCCTATAGCGTAGGCCCATTTGGAAGTCCTGTGTAAGGAATTAGTGCACTCTTTCCAAGTGCATGAAGTATTGGTGTGAATGTGCACACAGCATGTGAAGGGCGTGGTGTGGGTATGCACCGAGAGGATACAGAAGCATAAGTGTGTGCTGTTGTAAAGTTAAGGTGTTTCTGCACAGACTGGGAAGGCAAGCAGGGCACACAGTTGATTGCCCTTTGGAGATGCAGAGAGAGGGGACACACTGTCAGAGTCTGGCCATGGGGCCACCCAGGTGCTCGTCTAATGAAGGGGAGGGGTGGTGCTCACAGAATGAAGGAAAGGACTTCGGCCATGGGAGGGAAAATAGGAAGGGCCCAGGTCAGGTGGGTGGGGCCAGTCGGTGGCTGGATGCTGGGTCAGAGCCAGGGGGTCTTCAGCACACAGATGGCCCAACTTGACTTCTGTCCCTTGAGGCTTGGTCCCACTATTGATTTCTCCAGTACTTAGAAGTCTTAGCCTTGGGATGTAGCTCCCTCTTCCTCCTCATTTGCCCTTGGATGACATCTGAGTTTTATTATCCTGGAAGATCACCATGTGTCTGAGCGCAGCAGTACTTTACATTGGGCCACTTAACCCACAAACCACACTAAATTAATTTTATTTAGAGTTCTCTTTTTGTGACCAAGGATATGTTTGTAATTAAGAGGAGTTTTTTTAAAGACAAAAGCACATTGGATATTTGCTTCTAAGATTTGCTGAGAATTAGTAAAATTATTCTGCATTAGTTATTTTTATAATCAACTATGTCTAAGTTAAAATAGAGCCTAAATCCTTTTTAAAAAGGTACCTATGTGCTATAAATCTTACTGATTTGATCAGAGGTAAATGTGATTACTTATTTTTAGAATTTTTTAAAGTGTATACACTGGAATATTATGTTACATGTATACATACACACAAATATTTGAAGCTTAGGACTATGTTTATTTCCAGTGAAGTCCACAGGACTCCTTACACAGCCAAGAGCTGACTGTGAGGGCTGTGGAGCCGTGCATGCGGGAGCTGCTCACTTAACGAGCAAGGCTGGCGCTGTGGCCCAGTGGCAGGTTCTCAGGGCTGCAGAGAGCAGCAGTACCATTCTGTGTGCTGGCAGTGAGTGCTGGAGCTTTTCTGAGTGACACTTGATTGTCCCATTTCTTCATAAAAATTTATGGTGAAGTTTGTCTATTTCCGGGGATTGCGGAGACTGTTAGCACCCATATCAACATGCTTTCATTCAAGAATGAGCAGTACTTGACTCTTTACCACCTTTTGGTTGACAGCATTGCTGGGAAAATAAACCTGGGTGGGTAAACAAAGCTAAAATCACTTTGAAATACATTTTGTTGAATGCCTGAATGGAATTGCTTAGTAATTAATTTGTAATTGTAATAGCTTGGGTATGATATTAAACTGAACTTTCAAAAAACTAAACTTCACTTTCATATTACAGCGACTAGCTCAACCAAATTGGAAGATTTGAGTTACTTGGATGGGCAGAGAAATGCTCCTCTTCGAACGTCAATTCGATTGCCATGGCACAATACGGCCGGAGGCAGGGCGCAGGAAGTCAAAGGTGCGTGTCCTTCCATCCGGTCATGTGGGCGCGACGAGCTCCTTCACCGAATGCTGAAAGTCTGTGATAACCAGCATTTAAACCAACTGCTTTTAAAACACAATGTGAATGATGTGTGTGTAAAGTTTATCTGGAAGGTGTGCTGGGGGGGCCACTATCCTTCACAATTTGGACTTCTTAAAATGTGTGATTAACTTCTGGATTTGAAAAATCATTCTGGAACGTGTTACTTTAAAGTGAGGAGTAGTTTAACATTCCCCCCTTTTTTGTAATCAGTAAAGCATCAGCCCTGTTGCCACCTTACACATCTCCCTGTAATGCACTGTTGTGTGGTCAGTAGGGCACCCCCAGAGTCACGCCCGGGGGTGGATCACACCCCCTGCACCCACGCTGCCATGAGAGCTGGGGCCCTGTCTCCAGGGAAGCCCTTTTCCTTTACTCAGACAGTTGTGGGAGAAATGTGTCTTAAATACTGTTGGAGGTAAACTGATGAGACGCGGTTTGGCCCTTAAAATCACTTTCTCTAATTCTCTGTGTGTCTGCTTTGAGTCATGGGAATAATGTAGAGACATAAAAGGACTAGAAAGTCACTTAAAATAGGACAGTTTGTAGCCCCAATGGTGTATAATAAATGAGGTATCACAGAAGTATTAATAGGATCAGATTGGAAATACAGATTCCTTTTGGGGTAAAACTGCAAGTGTAACATACGTGTCATGATAAACTGAGTTTTTTAGTGTGTAAAATTAATAACGATCTTTCTCTCTTTCCCTCAGCACGATTTGCTCCCTACAAGCCACAGGACATCTTGCTGAAGCCCCTGTTGTTTGAGGTGCCGAGCATCACAACAGACTCTGTGTTTGTGGGACGGGATTGGCTCTTCCACCAGATCGAAGAGAACCTGAGGAACGCAGAACTGGCGGAAAACAGAGGAGCGGTGGTTGTGGGAAACGTGGGCTTCGGGAAGACGGCCATCATTTCTAAGCTGGTGGCGCTGAGCTGCCATGGCAGCCGCATGAGGCAGATCGCCTCCAACAGCCCCGGCCCGTCACCCAAAAGTACGTCCGAGTTGAACGGCTCGCCTGGCTCACGGTATTAGCATAGGGTAGATGGAGATAGTACTGTTTGGACAGACGTAAGTTCCCAGCTTTCCTCAGGTCGTCCCAGCTGCTGTGTCAGGTTTGTGGTCATGCGGTGGGCACTGTTCCGGCATCTGTCTCTCACCGCGCCTGTGTAGGTGCGGCCTGGCGTGGGGCCAGCCCTCCCTCGGGTCTCCGCTCTCTAGGAGCAGAGATGGGCAGTGAGGCCTGGTCAGGTGCCCTGGGGAACTTTTGGTCCTAAAACTACCGCAGGAGGCTCCTGGCAGAACAGGCCGGAAGGTGTGTGCACAGAATTCTTCTGTACTTATGCTCTGCAGCCTTTGTCTTCTATACTGGGTTTACAGAAAATATAAAAACTAGCTTAAAAATGGAGTGGAGTTGCCAAAGATTGACGATTTTATGGCTTATTTTATGTATAATAAACACATTAAAAGAAAGTGTAACATAATGAACCAGGAACAAGTGAGCCATTCAAGGTATTGTTTTAAAACCAAAAATAATGAAGGAAGTGAGAAACAGTGGTTCTCCAGGGAGGACGGCTGGGTGGGTAGAAGGTGGGCTGAGGGGGCACCTGTGCAGGTGGGGCCGCGTTCCCTCCTCCCCTGTGGGCGTGCTCTCTGTCTCTGCTCGAGAAACACGTTCACCACCACGCTGTGCACAACCCACCGTGATGCTGTCATCAATGGAATCGGTCTCTTTCCTCTGCAGCTTCAGATTCCTCCCCGGATCCTCCGTTTACTCCACTGCTTTCACCAAGTACTTCTGCAGGTGGTACCAATGTGGCTAAAATGCCCACCAGGTCGGGGTCTGATGCTCCTGAAAACCAAAGACCGAGGGAGGATGCAGTGAAATACCTCGCTTCCAAGGTAGTGTTACTCCTGTTATATGAGAACTTTGAGAGAGAGAGAGAGAGAGAGAGATTGGCTTCTGAAAAAATGAATTGTAAAAGAGATCTCACAACAGGGACAGCAGTTGCTTAATGCAAAAGTATAGCTTTTGATAAAAATGTGATAGAGTCCTGCAAATGAAAGGCATGACCGAAAATAAATATCTTAAGACATTGGCAGTGGACTTGTGTTCATTTTAAATAATGGATTGAAAAATCCTCAGTCAGCAGGAGGTAGTATTGCACTTGCCACAAATCCACCCTTAAAGTTGGCATGAGAGCAGGAAGGAGATCGAGAGCCTTGAACATGACCCCTGGGCCACCTCCGCCCACGCTCTGTGCCCAAGGCCTTTGGTTCTTCGAGTCTTGGTTCAAGATTTCTTGTAAAAGAGACTTGGCTGACTCCCACTTCCAAAATTTATGCTTGTCAAGGTCCTCAGAAATTTTCCATCTGCTCAGCTTCTGTCACGGGTTCACCAGCCACCCTCCTGGGTGAAGACTGTCATGCCTCGCTCCTGGGGAGCCGCGTGGGTCTCCCTGGCAGCACTGGCGTGAGGTGCTGGAGCTGGAGAGCCAGTGGGGGTGAAGAATGAGGGGCATCTGGTGACGAGGGGCATCTGCGAGGAAGCCCCCGGGGTGGAGGTGGGCCCAGGGTGACTGCAGCGAGTGCTTCTCTGCCCCCCAGGTCCTCGCTCCTCACTTCTGCTTCCCTGGCGTGGGCAGCCCGACACCCTGACCTGTCCTCTGTGCACCAACAGGTGACCCGCAGGGAGGGATGTAGAGCTGATGATGAGGCACCCGTCACCCTGATTTTTCACACCACTTTGTGACCCACCATAAGAAATAGATCTTACATCAGAGACCTAGTGCTCACACACATGTGATCACACACACAACTGAAGCAAAAGCATCGCAAGACTATACTAATTTTTACATCCTATCATATTCACTTCTTTTTTTTTTTTTAGAAAAAAGGTGTTTGGCTCCAAATTGATTTCACGATGCACCGCTGGGTGTTGGCTAGACTGTGGTCCAGGCTGTTTCACTGGTAGTTTGTTCCAGCCCAGGAGTCCTCATGGGATCCTGCTAACCAGTGTCCGAGGGGGCGTGGAAGAGCAGTCGTCTGTCCTGAGCATTGCCGATCAGTTTAGTCTAGAACAGAAGTCACATGAAGATTCCACATTGGCCACATTTGCTCTTGTCACTTGCTTTTAAGAGTCTGCAGACCTGTTATCTAACCACAGATCTTTCGTTGTTAACCTGGGTCACCCTGGCGGGCGGTTAACTGTGTGTCTGCTGTCCTCAGCTGTGAACCACAGTTAGTGGTTTTTCTGTGTGTGCCGGGCAGGGTGGGGTGGGGGCAGTAGAGCAGAGAGGTGCAGACTCAGACGCTGCTGAAAAACATCAGTACTTTTCACTGTGTGTTTTGACCTTTTCTAAAAACCTTCCTTACCTCATACTTCCTTAGTTCATCCTCATTGAGCAGAGTATTTGGCTTTTTATTTACCTGCGGAGTCCTGCTCACTCCTGACAGTTCTCATCTGCCACTCTCCTCGAGGACTTGAATGAATAACCTGCTGCGTCGTCTTATCAGTCCCAACAGAGGGGATCCTCGCCATCCTCTCCGAACTTAAGCAGGGACCCTCTTGCTCCCTCCTCCTCATTGTCCCTGCACAGCATAGGCACAGATTTGCTGAGTTCAGGTTTTCACTTTTCCAGTTTTCACTGTTGAACTTTTGCTCGGCGTCCATGCAGGGTGGGTGTGGAGAAGGGGCTGAGGGTTTCAGCCAGGCCGCCTGGTCCTCCTGCCACGGGGAGGAAGCAGCTGTGACTTCCCGGCCCAGCTTTTGTAGTCACTGACTAGTGCTGATCTTGATGCTGATCAAGGCGGGTTTGGTCAAGATACACTGCAATAAAAAGTTGCTTAGGTCTTGGCAAAGCCACGTGAATTGAATGAAGGAATCACTAAATCAATTAAGCTAAATTATGTCTCCATCTTGGGGAAGAGAAGCAACATGTTCTGCTACCTTGCAGACACTAGAATTTTGTCCCCGTTTGAGAGAATGAAAGGAAGAGTGTGAAGAAGGTGAGGTGACGCTGCTGGTCTGCTTCCCCCCAGGTTGTGGCCTACCACTACTGCCAGGCTGACAACACCTACACGTGCCTGGTGCCCGAGTTCGTGCACAGCATCGCGGCACTGCTCTGTCGGTCCCACCAGCTGGCTGCCTACAGGGACCTGCTGATACAGGAGCCCCAGCTGCAGAGCATGCTGAGCCTCAGATCATGCGTGCAGGACCCCGTGGCTGCCTTCAAGAGGGGAGTGCTGGAACCACTCACAAACCTGAGAAACGGTACCTCCCAGCAGTCCCCTAGAACCCCCTCAACAGTAGCTCCGCGTCCCCAGGGCCGCCCTCAGAAGGAGGGGGGTCAGCTGGGCCCTGGGCCGGAAGTGAGACGGGCACCGGGAGAAGGCATGGGTGAATCTGCGTCTCTCCTCCTTTTTCTCAGAACTGTCTTCCCAAGGACCCACCCAAATGGTGTGGTTTTAAATGAAATACCTCGTATGAGAACTGACTCACCAGTCAAACATTTCCAAGGTAGCTAGCTAATTTGCAGCTGTAGGTCATGTAGCTGACTTGTGCTCTAGAAACTCGCCTGCACACTCTGCACTCCCACATAGCAGGGGGATACGGTGGTTGTTTAGGAACATTGCCAGCATGTTTTTTTCAGGACCTCTGCTCAGCTGAGTTGAACCTAAAGCCATTTCTGGGAGTCTGATTTTGTTGCCCCTGAACAGTGTAGAAGACGGGGGGCATTAGTGTTGTTATGGGCCCTTTGGTTTTTCCTCCCTCCTCCTCCTCACCTGTTGAGCTAGTTTATCTGCCTTCATAGCACTTCTTCCAAAAGGTGCTACAGAGAGGGCATTGAAGCAGGTGTCATCCTTTCTCCTCAGTTTCGGGCAGAAGGTTGGTGCTAATAAATAGGAGACTAGGTTTAGGTTTGTAGGAAAGAGCCTTGTTCTACGACTCTCTAGAGCAGAGCTCTCCACCCAGCTTGCAGGAGCCTCGGGCTGGATGCTGTGCCCTTTGGGGGTCGATCCCCCGCCCCAGATACTCACCGTAGGCGTTCTTTGGTATGGGGGGGGGAGCCTAGGGTCTTTCCCAGAATCCATCTCTGTGTGTTACCTTCACTGTCCTTGCCCCAGAAATAGTAGTTTATGGTGTGCTAACTGTAATACATGGGTGGGATTCTGCTAAGTGTGTGCAATGCAATATGTTTCTGAAAACTGTTTTTTGTGAGAAGTGGTTCCCTCTTTGGCTCTGTGCTCCAGTTTCCATAATGCATTTAATAGAAAATATGCTTCTGTGTAAACTGTTTCTTCTGCCATATGCAGACCTTTTTTAGCTTTTCCTGACACTTTAAACTATGCATTAAAATACAGTGGGTGGTGCCACCTTATAGAAATACATAATTTCTTAATTAAAAAATTTTATCCTTTAGAGCAGAAAATTCCTGAGGAAGAATACATTATTTTGATAGATGGTTTGAATGAAGCTGAGTTTCATAAACCTGATTATGGAGATACACTTTCTTCATTTATCACCAAGATTATCTCTAAATTTCCTGCCTGGTTGAAGTTGATTGTGACTGTGAGAGCAAATTTTCAGGTAAAAAAAAAATTTTCATGTCTCTTTCCAAATCCTTATACTCAAATTTTGCAGTGATTAATACTAACAATTTAAATTTGTAAACCACTTAGCTGCTGAATTTAAAACTATACTAAGACTGTAAGGTGGCAGTGCACAAAACCCCAAATGTGTGAAATGCTGACCTTTTCACCCCTCAGGGCACATTTATCAGGATGTCAGGTAAGTTTTCTGTTAGCCCTGACCTGCACCTGTGCTTCCAAAGGACTGGGGCCCAGCCCCCGCTCCCTGTCACTCGGGCCTGGGAGCTGTGTGAGGTGTGCGGCCAACAGGCCTGCTCAGACGGAAGATGATTCCTACTAGTCGTTTGTGTGGGTTTGCAGTGGGACTTTGTTTTCTTTTCCTTTTTTTTTTTGATTTTTTAAAAATTCTCTTCCTCATGCTTCCTGTCATTTGAACCCTAAAATTGTACCTCAGCCATTGACACCTTTCTTCTACCTTGTTCTTTTTTAGTAGAGACCTTAAATTTTTGTCCTTTTAATGATACTTGTTTAAAAGTAGCATTCGGGCCCTAACCAGTGTGGCTCAGTTGGTTGGTTGGGCGGGCATCGTTCCACAAAGCAAAAGGTCACCAGTTCGATTGCCAGTCAGGGCACGTGCCTGGGTTGCGGCTTTGTGGTGACTGGGCTGCAGTTACTACATTCAGTGAGGACATGGGCGTCAGTACTTCAGAAATGATAGTGACACGTTAAAAACCAAAAAGCCCACCAAACTCATCTTTGCTGCTACGTGTCAGGACGATGCGTATCTCCAGCGTGGGGACAGACAGTCAGGGAGCTGGCGTTTGCTCTCAGGCTGCTGGTCACCAGGGAGCTCTGACTTTGTGAAAATTAATGACACCACGCACTCGTATTTGTGCACTTCTGCATGTATTGCCTCAATTTAAAAGTTTACTACTTTTAAAAGCAGCAACTTAAGAAGTTGACAGTGGGCTATACCAGGGTCGGGCATCTTGTGACTGCTGCGCTGGGCACAGCCCGAGGCCATTTCCGGCCCCTGGTTCAGGTCGACCGCCCTGGTATCTGTGCACTGAGAGGGGTGCCTCTTATCTTCACGTCCGGCTGTGTTCTCAGAGTACAGTGGTGGTTGTGTTTGTCTTGGTTATATAACCAGTTGCACAATGTAAGGATTATGAGTATCAGGTCACCTCTGGGCCTCACTGCCCCTTCACTGGGGTCCGGCCAGGTGGCATTGTCGTTGGGCCCTTCCCTCTCGCTTGGCTGAGTCTTCGGATCAGGGCTTTGGAAAAGCCTTCACTGATTTGATCTTGCATCAGGATTTCTTTCACATAAGCTTTTTATCTTCAACTTATCCTATTACATGTTTTAATACTAAATAATGAGTCCCTGTAATCCACGAAAATCCTCCTTGAAAGAAAACTAGTGAATCTGGTTTGAAATGCAGCTGACACAAAAAAAGAAATCTCTGCGGAGTGACACTGTGGTGCGTGTGTTTTTTCCCCAGGAAATTGTAAGTGCCCTGCCGTTTGTTAAGCTTTCCTTGGACGACTTTCCCGACAACAAGGACATTCACAGTGACCTGCACGCCTACGTCCAGCACAGAGTCCACAGCAGCCAAGACATCCTCAGCAATATCTCCCTGAACGGCAAGGCCGACGCCGCCCTCATCGGGAAAGTGAGCAGCCACCTGGTGCTGCGGAGCCTCGGCTCCTACCTGTACCTCAAACTCACCTTGGACCTCTTCCAGAGGGGACACTTGGTCATCAAGAGTGCCAGCTACAAGGTGGTGCCCGTGTCTCTGTCCGAGCTCTACCTGCTGCAGTGCAACATGAAGTTCATGACCCAGTCTGCCTTCGAGAGGGCGCTTCCGATTTTGAACGTGGCCCTCGCGTCCCTCCACCCCATGACGGACGAGCAGATCTTCCAGGCCATTAATGCTGGCCACATTCAAGGGGAGCAGGGGTGGGAAGACTTTCAGCAGAGGATGGAAGCCCTGTCCTGCTTCCTCATTAAGAGACGGGACAAAACCCGCATGTTCTGCCACCCGTCCTTCAGGGAGTGGCTGGTTTGGAGAGCGGACGGCGAAAACACGGCCTTCCTGTGTGAGCCCAGGTAGGACAGGACGCGGTCTGTCAGCTCTTTGTAGGGGTCTGTTGTGCACGTGGGGAAGGAATTTCGAGCATGAGTCACTTTTTTTTTTAATGGAAAGGCAATGCAGAATGCAAAATTCAGGAGGAGCAATGGAAAATTCTCTCTGCTCCTAACCAAAGGCTTCCTCCCTCTAATTGCTAGAACTTTAGGACTCCTCAGTACATTTGGGTAAGAGAGGAGCTAGGTGAGGCCTTGGTGCTACTTCTGTGCCATCCTGTCCCCTGTCGCAGGGGCCGTCTGTGGTGGGAAGGTGTGTACCCGCTCCAGGAAACAGCGGGCTTCTCTAGAAGCTGTTCCCAGCCTGCTGTCTTTCCCTGGGGGTCTGCAGACTGTCTTGGGCCCCCAGCACCCCTCCCCACCTGCCACCTCATGAGCACACAGCTTGTCCCAGGGATCAGATGTGGCTGCTGGCCCAGAGGGGAACACACTGATCACACCTGGTCATTCGTTTTATACTTGTGGTTTAGCTCAGTGTAACAGCCTGGGATTTGGGGTCTCGAGGACGGAGGTTCCAGTCTCAGATGCCCCATTTCTGAGATGGTGGTGGGGCAGCTGCAACCGTGAAGGTTCCACTGAGGATGTGCAGCAGGGCGGGGCCAGGACGCAGTTCTCCCTGCTGCTCAGGGGAAGAGGCAGTGGTAAACCCGCCAGTTGTGCAGCCTGATGCTTCAAAGGTGTAGGTGCTTTCAGATTGGGGTATGTTCGTGACACCGCTTATTCCTGGCTCCGGCCTTGGCCTGCATCTTTGCTGTCTTGAATGGCTTCTGTTCTCTGTGAGTCAGAATTGCTCCTGATTCCTGCAGCAGGTCTGGCAAACTGCCAAATTGTCTTTTAGGGCTGGATGTGGCATTTGATAAGATGCTAGGGGCCAGAAAAGAGTAAGAACTTGTGGTCAGCACGGTACCTTCTCCCTGTGAGTGTTGACGATGTTGACCTAATAGGTCTAACTGCTATTTTGTGTTGTGATAGTATTGTTTTCTTAGGTGACAATGGGCTGTGAATTTATCTTCTAAAGCTGGTGACACCCAGGTTATTGAGCCAGACCATAATAACTAGGTAAATTTTATGTCATGACATACTTAGGGAAGACAGGTTAATTTCTACAAAAATTCAGATCATTTTCTGGGAAGATAGGGCATCATTGACTTTGTAGAGACTTCAACAATGGGTGTAGACTTGTTACAGGGGGTTGAGGCAGAAGTAGTTGGGCTGTGGTCACAGTTAAGCTACCCTCCCTCTCGGCTGGCAGGTGGCACCGAGGCCATGCATCCTGAGGCAGAGCTGTGAGAGGGGTGACCAGTGGGCCGTTAACCCGTGGACTCCTGGGTGCTGGTGTGTCCCCGTAAGCAGGCACGGGGGCTGGCCAGGGCCAGGGCCAGGACTAGGCTGAGGCACTTGGTGTGCAGAGGAGTTGTTACAGGGTTGGCCCAAAAGTCCATTATGTTTTTTCCATAAAAGGCATTTTTTATTTTTACCAACAAGTTTATTGATTTAGATATTTTGAGTGTGTTGGCTGTCTCCTGCTACTGGCTTCTATTGGGTAGAGGCCAGGGGTGCTGCTAAACATCTTCCAGTGCGTAAGACAGCGCACAGCCAGGAATTACTTGGCCAAAATGTCAGCAGCACCAAGAAACCTCAGAAACCACTTTTGACATGTTCGGTCACTCACAGCACTTTCTCCATAAGCTGCACAAATTTTTTGCATTGGTTGCATTTTTACCTTTCTTGAAATAATAATGTATAATATGCTGAAAATGTCACGTATTTTCTTCCATCTTCAATATTAAGGTGGCTGCACAAAAATTCATCAATTGTGATATTTTTTTTAAGTGCACGCTGATATGACAGCTGTCACAATACAATCTAACAGGATTGCTTTGAGTGAAGTTAGAGATGATGTAAGCCCCATTAGAGCCATCGCACGGGGAAAAACGTAACAGACTTTTTGATCAACCCAGTACTTCTCAGAACTGTGTACCCAAGACCTGTATAGTTCTTGAACTTCAATCAGCAGACAGACAATATATAGAACAATATTGGAAAGAAGCTACCAGACTTAGTTCAGCAAAAGTTTTTTGCACATGACCCTCCACTTGTAGGGTCATGGGACAGATACAGAGGTTCCCGGGCCGAGGGCCCCGTCCTTGAGGACTTCCCACACAGGAGGGCAGGCGAGGTGCACCGCGGCCGCCGGGGGGAGCCAGACTGCTCGTGGGCCTTCAGGGAAGAGAACAAGAAGCCTCCGCTGGGGGAGACCATTTCTGGAAAATGCGTCACATACACAGCAACCTTTAAATTGGGCCTGGAAAGATGGGTAGCATGTGTCTTCCCACACCAATTGGTGCTAATTTTCCCAGTTAGAAGAAAAAGGAAAAAGAATCCAACGAACAGAGACAATGACACTTCACTTGTTATTTCTGCCCTTCCCTGCATTTAAAACATTTTCCAAATTATTTTTTTCTGTATTAAAATTTCCCCTCCGCTTATTTTGCTTAATACACTGTGGCCATTTAGAAAGCTGTTTGGACGTCTTAGTAAAATGTCACTTCGCATGTCCTCGGAGGCAAACGATGATTCCTTCATGGGACCCGTGTTGTGGGCGTCACGTTGGTCAGTTACACAAAACCCTGTTGTGAATGTCTTGGTGCTTTGCAGGAAAGCAGCAGAGTTCAAGGGAGGTCCGCACGAAAATCCTGTTTGCCTTAGTGCATTGTGCACAAGTTATTTTAATTCTCCAAATCTTAATCTTCTTATCTGTAAAAAGACAGCACCACCTCATCTCGTCACCTTACAGAGGGGAGCCTTCAGAGGGTCTGCTGCTCCCGCCTCCTCCCTCCCTCCCTTCTTTTCTTCCTGCCTTTGATTATCCATGAGCAGAATCACCAAGTTAAACAATTAAGTTACTCAGAGCCTTCATTTGTATCACCTAGAATTAAACACGACTCAAATTTGGAAAATTTGCTCCATCCGGTTTTTTTTGTTGAATACAAAATGATATTTTACCTGAAATAACTGATTATAAATCTCAAAACAGATTTTCGCCCCCAAGCACAATGCCATTCTAGTGCTCGGAGTGTGGACGCTGCTCATCAGTGTCACCGCCCACGTGGCTGTGCTCACGTTGCCCCAGTCCTCACACTGTTTTACTGGGCGGCAGCAGGGTCCAGGTGAGGTTCATAAAGTGCATTTTCTTGTGTTCCTTTGAACCTCCAGATTCCCTCCTTTTTGTTTTTTCTTTGCATTTTATTCGTTTAAAAAGAACAGCTGGGTAGTCTGCCCTGTTAGCATCCCCCAGTGTGAATTTGGCTGACTGCGGTCTCATGGCCATTTTCAATGCATCTGTCACCTTTATTCTCTATAAGCCGATAGTTAAATCTAAAAGCTTGATCATGTTTTATTTTTTAAAATTTCTTTGCAAGAATACTTAATAGGTGGTAGAGAGTACTTCCATCAGGAGGCACTAATATCTTAATGTGTCTCAGAGCCATTGACGATCATTTCTGGACCCTGTGATTCATTAAGATCGCATGAGGTTCTTTAATCCGCAGCAGTCTCACATCCACTTTTCCCCACGTCATTGACTTGAGGAATGAATGGGTAGGGTTGCCACAGGTGGAGCCAGGCTGTTATGACAGGAGGAGCTGTGTGAGGCATCTGAGGCATAGTGTCAGAATAAGCTGGCTGCGTTCTGGCAACAATAAATCAAGTTAGACTGGAGCTTTGGTCATGGGACAGAGAAGCAGAAAGAACTACATAAAGGATGTGTCTCAGGAGCGTGGCCTTTTATCAGTCACCTCTGAAGGATTTGTGGGGGTTCTGGAGTGCAGATCATCTACTCGGACAGGGGGTTGTGGGGCGGAGCGTGGGGACCAGCCGGGAGTGGGGGCTTGTCAAACCTGGCTCCAGGTGCAGTGAGATGGAGACAGGCTTTGCTGAGATAGGTGGGCGTGGCTTGACCTTGTGGGCAGAGTCAAGGAGAAGAAGGTGCCACATCAAGGTGTTAAACCAGGAGTAGCCTTGCTCTTAGGCTAAGAACAGCGGAAGGTGTGAGATGGGTTTTGCAGAGCAGGAGTTAGCTTTTGTTTTCAGCAGTTTCAGTCTGTGGGGTCGGCGGCTCCCCCAGCTAGACAGGTTCTGACAGCAGGTGGGGTCTCAGGTTGGAGGAGAAGCTGGAGTTGAAGAGTTGGCACCCCTGGTGGAGGGCGGTGGTGGGACCTGCCGAGGAGGTGTACTTAGAGGGGAGGGAGCACCGGGCCGCCGGGCTGCAGGGGAGGGTTTCGGGGAAGGAGATTGGGGTGAAGGGAGGTGAAGATTAAGAGGAGGCCACTGTATCTTCAGTTCAGAAGGAGGTCCTGGACCCCTAGGGACTCCTTCCACTGGGTTGTGAGGAGTGAAAGGAGGGAGCCAACATCCTGGATTGGAAAGTGGAAGAGTAGAAAGGTCTGGGGTTGTGCGAATGTGGGGAAGGGTTTGTTTTTATTTTTAACATACAGGAGATTGGGATGTTGTTGGAAACATCCAGTGTGGGGAAGCACAATCCATAAAGGAGAAATTGGCATGCAAGGGAATGGGGCCTGAGTGAGGGGGCAGCTTGCAGCCCCTGTCTCGTTGGGTCTGTGCACAGCACCGGTGTAGCTGGACGTCCTTTTGTCTGCATGCACCTCCTCCAGTCAGAGGAGGAGGAGGAGGACTTCCAGTCAGTTTGCATGCACCTCCTCCACCTCCCCAAAGGGAGCACCTTCCATTGTTCCCACCGAATCCCTAGTATTAAACAAGCATGGTGCAGGGGGCATGGTCATGAACAAATGAATGGATGGGAAGCATGTTTTGCTGGTTAGAAGCTTGGGCTCTCACATTGGGTAGACTGCAGTTCAAGTCTCTGCTCAGTCATTCACCAGCCATTTGGTCTTGGGCAGATCACTCAGCTAATCAGGCCTGTTTCCCCGTGTAACAGATTGGGAATAATAGCGATTCCCAGGTCGTGTGGGTCAAATAATTCAGTTAAGTTTCTGCATCTGGCACAAAGTAAATCTTGATATGTGTAAGCTTTGCAAAATGAACAGACTCATGAGTGAAGGTAGACTTAGAAGGGGCCCGTGATCCCGAGACCAGGAGGAGAGGCGGAAGGGGCAGGTTGGAGACAAGGGAGCGCAGGCACCGGCGACTGCGTGGAAAATCGTCTCCTCGGCGAGGCGGGAAGCCACATGCTTAGCCGGGAGCTCTGGAAACCTTCGGCCCAGCCGTCGACAAGTGCGTGGTCGTCCCCAGTGAGGGCGGCACGTTTTTGGTACAGACACGGTTGGCATGACCACAGAGCGCAGCAGACGGGGAAACTGAGGACAGCTGAGCCGTGGTTGGGGGAGTGGCCCCGGCTGGAGTGATGTGCACCTGGTGGGACCCTGGGAGAGGGGCTGGGGGGAGAGTGGGGCTTGGGGCACGGAAGGTAGCAGAGAGCGGGTTCCCTGCGAACAAGGGAACAAGGGAGCAGGAGAGGTGGGAGCGTGGAGGCTGTCACCTGAGAGGGGAGCCCGAGCCTGGGGTTCGGGAGACGGAGGACGTGCTCGGAGCCCTGGGTGATGTGCATTCAGGGGGAACCCCCAGACCCTTCCCAGACATTGGCCTGGACACTCGGTGGCAGCATGGCCTTAGAGTCATGCCTTCCCCTGTCATATAAAAACCAATCTCTGGCTGTCCACCTGCCTTTATTTCCTTATCTTTAACATGGTTTATAACTTCTTTGAGAAACAGGATGCATCTGGATGAACACTGTGAAATCATAAATACCTTTAATCATCTGGATTAGCAGCTATCAGAAAACACCTTTAGGAGAATGATTTTTTTCCCCATACTGTTTATCTTTTTCTCCACAAATGCCTGCTTCCTCCTTCTCCCCCAAATTCAGCACTTCACAGTTTTCAGGGTGATAGAAATGACAACAGTTCGCACCGTGCAGGAGGCCCTGTTGTCGCAGTAAGCAACCGTTAGCATCCTTTCCGAAGGGATTGGCACAGACAAAGCTATGGAGTCTGCAGGAGACAGAATGAGTCCCACAGACTCGGAGGGGGAAGTGGGTAACACGGCTGCTCCTTGAAACAGGTCGTGGGGCTTCATCGGTCATGTCAGTTGAATGTCCACCAGGCGCCCAGACAGAGCAAGGCCCCTCGTACATCTTGGCTCTTTTCCCCCCACAACCATCGTGCTCCGTTCAAGCCTAGAATCCTAGGTGTTTCTGATCACGAGCTGTTGCTATGCAGGACCTGGCTTTTCTTCCCTCCCGTTGGAAGGCCGTGTCCTTTGGCCCAGGGTCACCCCAGTGGGGATTGCCCTGAGGGGAGGCCTGAGTGCCATGTCCTGTGCTGGCTGTGCTCCACCTGTCTGTCTGCATCGTTCGTCTATCTGTCCATCCATCCAAGGAACACATAGTGGAGGACTTACTAAGTGTTGGGCCTTTGTGACATGGACAACACCCCTGGTTCTGTGTTGTATACGTTTTTGTGGCAGACATAAAAAAGGTGGTGACAGAGAGTGTGTGGTTCCAGAGACAAAGGCCTGCCCTGACCTAGGGTTCCCCTCTGGGTCGCTCCGTGGAGGCAGGGGAATCCAGAGAAAGCCTTTAAATAACTTGAAGAACAAACAGCACTGGCCATCTTTTGTAAACAGGCAGCTTTCCACCGTGTTGTGTGGTGACGCTGAAGTGCCGGGATTTCAGGGTTAGTGTGACGATGTTCTCACCTGGGGGCCGGTGGTGTGGGACCGGGGCCGTTTGTTACAAGTCTCTGTGTTTCTGGCCCCAGGAATGGGCACGCTCTCCTGGCCTTCATGTTCTCACGACAAGAGGGCAAGCTGAACCGCCAGCAGACCATGGAGCTGGGTCACCACATCCTGAAGGCACACATTTTCAAGGTGAGACACATACCACTGGGAGGAAGGGTCTCACGGTTGTCCTCATTGTCTTTTTGAGTTTTTGGTTTTGGAGATTTTCGACAGTTTTATCAGTCCTCTCAGAGGCCTCCACGAACTGCCCTCCAAACACAACCCCCTCCCTTCTCCCTGAAAGTAACCACTGTTCTGACTCAGAATCACTCATACGTGTGTATGTAAATGCTATAGTGGCCTTTGCGTCTCTTTAAAGTTTGTTTCCACCTAAAGTTTCTATTTCATTTATCCCCCTTTTTTTCCTTGTTACTTTGTCGTCAAAGAACATGAGTTATTTGAACTCTATGTAGTTTGTTTTTGTTGTCAGACAACTTATTTTCCTGAATTTAGAATCAGGTTCAACTTGCCCTCTAGTTTTGCACCACCTGGATTTTCTGGTTGTTCTTATTTCTCATGCTCTAGTTTAACATGTTCCTCTTTCCTTCAGATTTCCAGTCATTTGGTAGTTGTATCTAGAGGCTTAATCACATTCAGGTTTGATTTTTTTTCCCCAGGGTGTCACGATTACTTTGCAGTTAGAGTTTAAACTCTGCAATTCTACACGAGGCTGCTTGCTTCCGTTCCAGCGATGCCCTCCGCCCCCACAGGCCTCTGCCTGCATTCATTCACTCATTGAGGGTTACAGAATGGTGATATTTTATCACTTATTCTTCTTCTCATTGACTGGAGAACTTCTATAAAGAGCAGAAACTTTCTCCTCATGGGCCATCTCTTCCCAGGCCTACAGTTCAAGTAGCAAAGGCCAGTTAGTCCCTTGACCCTTAGTTTTGGGAGGGAAGGCTCACAGGTCACATGCTCTGTCACAGCTTACACCGCCTGTCAGCTCGACCTGCACACCCTGGTTGTACCTGCTTTTGCATGGGTGCCGAAGTCGGGAAAGGAGGAGGTGAGGCTGATCTTTCTCCGATTGCTTCCAGGGCCTCAGCAAGAAGACGGGAATTTCTTCGAGCCATCTGCAAGCCCTGTGGATCGGGTACAGCACCGAGGGACTGTCTGCCGCCCTCGCCTCTCTCAGGAATCTCTATACTCCCAATGTCAAGGTGAGCAAGTGACTCTTCCGCACAGGAAAGCAGCACCTGCAGCCCCAGGCCAGCTGCTGCTTCTCCAGCCCATCCTCCCTGCCCCCTGCCCCCTGCCCTGGGCGGTGCCAGAGGAGGTGGAGGAGCTTCTAATGATGCTCTTTCCCTGATGTAAGCCACACAGACTTGAACGCTCTATTACCATCTCCCTTCTAGAAGTTTAGCCTTCCCTCAGCAGGAAGAAGTGGGTGGTCGGGAGCGGCTGTGTGAGCACACGGTGACTGTTTCAGAGTCGATGCGATAAGGAAGCAATTCACAGAGGAAACCAAAGGTCAGAGGGAGATTTGCAGGGAAGATTGATTTTTCAAGTGTCCCGAATTCCTAACCTGGACTGCCTCTTTGTGGTTCGTAGGAAATTACACATTGATGAGTGACACAAAGCAATATGTATACAGAGGAAAACTGTTCCTGAAGGTTTCAGGAACATGTGTGTTTATGACCATGGAAAACGTTTGGGGGGTCGGCTGCTGCTGACCCCAGGTGTCCTCAGTCTGGGTCAGTGGCTGTCATGTCACAACATCCTGCTGAGCTTTTCAGGGTAGATTTTTTTCTTTCCTTATTTACTGCGGCCTACGAATCTAGAGCACGTGGAGACCAAGTATCTGGTTAAATCAGCAGAGAAGGGTTAACTCCCACCAAGTAAGGGAATGACTGCTTCACACTGCAGCAGCCGGCAGCCACCTTTCCAATGCCGAGCACAGTGAGACTGTAAAACGTTTCCACGTTTGGGATTCCCCACCCACCTGACACATCTGCTGGACTCCACAAGCCCCGACATGCCTGGCGGCCTGCGGAGGCTGCGAGGCACATTCCCGGGGGGGCCAGGTTTTCCCTGCCGGTCACCGCCAGGACAACAGTCATACCCGTTCCCCCCTTAGTAGTGTGTGGGTGACGCGATGTGGTCTTGCAGCAAAGGACAAAGGAAGCCCTGTAAGTTTCTGGGCATGTCTTCCACTTCTCACTTGGGCTTCATCAAACCCACCTGGGAAGGGGGCACATGCCCCAGAGATGGTGCTGGGGGCCACTCCCGAGAGACTTCTGCACCTCCTCTCCCCCTCTGTCCACACCGCCCCCGCTCCCCCCGTACACACCCTGGATGTGGGCCTGGGGGTCTGGGCTTGCGGAGCACTTCCCGGGTCCACCGGTGTTTGCTCTGCCCTCTTCTCCCTTCCCTGTCTTCCTGGTATATGTTCTCTTTCTCTCTTTTTGCAAAAGTTGAGATATAACTGACATCTAGCTCCACATTTCATGTGTACAACCTAATGATTTGATATTTGTACGTATTGCAAAATGACTACCACAATAAGTTTAGTTAACGTCATCACCGCACAGTTACACAGTTTTTTCTCGTGGTGATAACTTTTAAGATACATGCTCTTGGCAACCTTCAAATACATAATGCCGTATTATTAACAACAGCGACTGTGCTGTACGTTTGACCCCCCCTTTCTGACACACAGAGGGGAGGGTATAATGAAGCCTGGGGATAGAGGGCACGGAAGATGCTGACTGAGAAGCCCGGGTGTCCCAAGGACCGCCCAGCAGCGCTGTGCCTCGGGGGCGCCGCTGCTCAGTTCAGGGCCCCGGTGTTAGAGAAAGACCACCGCCTCCAGGTGCACTCAGGCAGGGTGTCTGCTGAGATCAAAGTGCCGCCTCATACCGGTGGACTCAGCCCCGGTTAGGGTCTCAGACTCGATGGTCAGGGGCACGTTGGATCACGTGCTGCCACGCCCCTCGGCCGGTGCCTGGAAGCAGAGTGTCCCCGGAGGGTGGCTGTGTGCTGCCCCGCTGTGCTGCATGGTTGCCTCTCTCCCCAGACCTGGGGCTGTGAGGGCCTGCGTCTCAGCTGAGCTGCACATACAGGCCTGTGGGCAGATGGGCCGATGGGCAGGGAAGCCGTCAGTGTGGTTAAGGAGAATTAGCTTCGAGCTGCTACTGTCAGGGGAAGCACTTCCTTCCTAGGTGGAGTTACTCAGAAGGAAAGGTGGAAAACACAGCTGAGTGTAGACCTCCTGTGATAAAGTATTTGTATTAAAAATTTTTGTTTTACTTACCTTCCATAGGAATTGGGTAGAGTTTACTATAATAACATTATTTCATCTTTTGTCTCAGCAAAAAGTATACCTTTTGGCTTGTCCATAATTTAAAAAAATTCATAATGGTGGCAAGGAAGAAAGAAATAATAAAAATGGCAATCCCTGTTTTTACTAAAATGAATTGTGAGCACAGAAGTTATTCTTTAAATATGGAGAAAATTAAATGGGAAACACCATACTTGTTGAGTATGAGTTTTTAAGACAGTAAATTAAAAGGGGCAGCATAACACTATAGTGAACTTGACCCTCCCGGGGTTATAGACGCCCCTCTTTAACATCCTTGCTTTGTCAGCATTGTTCCTCTTTACTTTGTCCTAGAGAACTCGGGTCACCTCCATCCGCCCTGTCCCCAAACCCCTACGACTTGGTTACAGGGTTTTGAGACTTTCCATTATCCTTATTTCCTTTTATCTTGCAGAAAAAAATTAAAAGGTTTTCACAGAATCTTGAATAAATTACAGTAATTTGAAATTATGCATGCAATTAAGGAACTTTTTTTAGAGAGTATTAAATGTTGTCATACAGGAATGGATGTCATTTTGAGCAATAATTACAGTTTGTCACTTTGGTAAATTAAAGCGACTTTGCTCCAGAATGATTATTTGGTTAGATGAATTTTAATTTCAACAGCGTGCCAGTGACTTCTAACAATAGAGTCTCCCGGTGCCCGGCAAGCAGCGCCCCAGCCCAGGCCGGCCCCCTGGGGCCTCCGCCACCAGCACCACCAGGCTCCGTCCAGCTGGCTGTTTGGCTCACCCTGCCCCACCGGACTGGTTGCCGGCCAGGGGCTTCCCAAGCCTGTGGACGCAGGAGGCCTCAGGCTGTGATTCTTCTCTCAGCCTTAGGCAGGGAGGAGAAGAGACTGAGCTAGGCACAGACGCACCCCTTGGCTGAGAGGATCCAGTCATATTCCACACGTGGTGAGGCAACACCCAGTGTAAAGCGGCTGCGTGGACGTGAACCCCACATACCATCAGGGACACGGAGACTCGCACTTTCTGACTGAGCCGGCCTTGCCTGTTCCTCACAATCCCTTCTCCAACCCCTAGCCCCTTTCTCTGTCCTTCCGCTCGTTAAATCCAGAAGTTTATAGATAATATTGCCATTTCCAGATGTTATCCAAGGAGACTGTGGTGGTGATGGCTGGGAAGTTTCCATATAGTTGGGGAAAATGTAGAGGGTGAACCATCTAAACCCCTTCTGTGAATGCAGGGTGACTGCTTGCGCTGCTCCTCAGCAGTCAGTGGCTTCGTGCCCGGACAACCTGCACTTCATCCCCCCACCCCGGGCCTCAGTCTTCTCACGTGCCAAGAGGAGGGAACAAAGGAGCCTGTCTCATAGTGATGGGAAGCCTCACTGCACTGTTAGAGTTCTAGGAAAGATGAGGAGCTGCCCCCCACCCCCCATGAGTTTTCGGTGGGTCCAGGTGACTCACGTCTGCTGTCTGCTCTCCGTTAGTATGAGGTGAGGCAGTGCCCTGGGCAGAGTGTCCCCTGTGCCTTCTCCCGGTCCCTGGGCTTTTTGTCCTTCTGAAGACTCTGTGAAAGGTGATCGTACTAATAGCAATGAAAACTTACGTAGCGCTTACAGGATGCCGAGGACTGTGCTGAGTGCCGTGCTTCTGTGTGTGTGTCACGTTCATGCTTAACCTTCACAAAAGCCCAGCGAGGCAAGACTGTTTTTATCTCCATTTTTCAGATGAGGCTGAGAGTGGTGAGTAGCTCGCCCCAAATCACGCAGCTGGAGGTGTGCCCGAGTAAGGGCAGGCCCACGCTCCACAGGCGCACCTACCACCTCATGAGTTCACAGCCCTGGCTGCCACCTGGAATCACCGGGGTGCCCCAGCCAAGGCGGAGTGTCCAAGGGTGGGGCGCAGGCATTGGGCACTTTCAAGCTCCCAGGTGGCTTCCAAGTGCAGCAGGGTGCAGAACCAGTGGGTCCGGGAAAGATCCACAAACTTATTGGGAGTTAAGCGATAAAAATACCCATAGCATTGCACCATGAAGGAAATGTGTTTCCCAGGAAGCGAATGAGGTGTGAACTGTTGGAAAACACCTTTCGGGAAGCTTTGCCCTTAAGTGCATACCATCCAGATAATGTCTTGCAAGGTATCGGCAAGACTGTACTGAAAGTGCGCCTCTGACATTGTTAGCAAGGAGTCCATGTTGGGTGGAGTGGGGTGGTGTACTGAAGGCACCTGAAGCTCAGAGAGGTTGAATAATGTTCTGAAAATCACACAGCAAGTTAGTGCAGGGGCTGATTGAGAACCCAGACAATTTAACCCATCATCTTTTTTCTCAGTTTAATCCATCTTTCTGTTAGACTCAGGGATTGCAGGAGGGGATGGGATTGGTGGGAGAGGGGCGGGAAACTGGCTGCTCACCCAAGGAATTACGGGTTGTTCCTACCCGTCCGGAGCGAGCAGGGTCTGGGCTGCCTCCCAGCGAGGGGACGTTGTGTGCGTTCAGAGAAAGCTGCCAGGGCTCTCCTATATTCCTCTTGGTAAGAATCAATTTCCTTAGCTGCTTTAAAATCTCCAAGTATTTCACCAGCATTATCCTTTTCTTTCCATTCCTAATGGTAGTTACTCAAGGTGAAATCATTTTCTAAAAATCCTTTACTTTTGCTTGGTACTTACAATTTTAAATACTTCTGAATCATATTTGAGCCTGGTGCTGCTTTTAAGAGCAAACCCATGCAGGTTTGCAGAGCAGGCCCGGCAGGGCTGAGGTTGTCGTGTGTTAAATGTCACAGTAGCACAGGGACACCTCTGATTTCTCTTCCGAGTGTTCTCTGCCTTTCCATCCACAAGTGCCGGCTGGCTCAAGGCTGAGTGGGTGCTGACCAGGGTGGGGCTAGAAGAGGGTCCCCTCCGAGGGGGTAAGTGACAGTGTGTGCTGGCTCATGGGGTCTCCTCAGCACTGTACATGTCCTGTCCTTCCTGAAATGCAAGTGATCTCCTGGAGGTGGGGAGGACCTGATGCGTGGACCATCCTGTTGTGCAGGGCCTTTGTTCGCTGCTCTGCCCTGTGAACTTGGAGTCTTACAGCCTATGCCCCTGGTTGCTATGGTCCCAGATGTGGTTCTGTGTGTGGACAAGTGCGCACGTGCACAGAGGCCTGTGGGCAGCGCTTGTTTGTCAACTGTGTCTACAGAAAGGTCATTCCTGGCAGAGGGGGCTGTAAGGGAAAAGGCCAGGAGGCTGAGACCTGCTTGCCGCTGTTGCGGAACAAACATTGGACCCCGCCCATGTGGCCAGAGTGGGGGAAGTGAAGGGAAAGGTCTGGGGGAGAGGGTCCAAGCTGTAGCAGCAGCCAGGACCCGTCAGAGGTTACACTCCGACTTCTAGCGGCCTTCATGCTGTCAGACTGTTCTGAGTGGTGGTTTCACCACCCAGTAATACTAATTTCTGTGGTTTGTGACAATCCTGTTAGCTACTCTTATGGACACTTATCTTTGAAAGAACTTGGAACTTATATGATGTATCATCCTTCTGTATCTTTTATTGATCCCTGGGACTCCAGTGGAATGAATGAGTCTCCGGTTCTCACACCCGGTGAGCAGCCTGGAGGCCTGCCAGGCCTGTCCGGGAGGGGTGGGTGCTGTCTGGACCGTGGGAGGGAGCTGGTAGAACAAATGCAGGAGGCATTTCAATAGGTGTTCAAGGGCCGTCATTTTTTAAATGAGCTAGAGAAATGCAGGAGATACCAGAACTATAATTTGCATAAGGTTTTCAGTGATTTTTATTGTAAAATTTGCAGAGAAACTGCCCCTCATATGTGGATTCGAGTAGTTCAGTGTGCAGTTGAGCAGGGTTATTTTTAGGAGTCTTGAGCTGCTGACAATCCCAGGCACGAGCATTTTCCTGGGTTCTGCTTGTTCTCTTAGGTCTGCTTCCCTGGGAAGAAAGGAGATGTTCGCATTTGCTTTTGGCCTAGTTATCTCAGTGGTAATTATTTAATCCTGTGATGATTATTGAATTGCCAGAAACATTACTTTTGTTTTTATTTAGATTAAGCAGTGATTTTTCCAGTGTTGGACCCCCGAGACCAACAGCATCAGCATAAACTGTAAACTCGTTAAAAAGGTGCATTCTCAGGCCTGACCCCAGATCTAAGTGAATCAGAAGTCCAGGGGGAGGGGCCTGAGAATGCGCTTTTAGACTTTTTAAATTTTGTTTAAAAAAAAGAGAGAAACCCATAAAATTGATTGTCATAACTGTTTTAATTTTTTATTTTAGTATAATTGGTATGTATTAGTTACATTGGTTTCAGGTGCAGTGCTTTGACATTTTTTATATGTTAGCATGTTACCCCCAATCCCAGTAATGCCCTGTGATGGTGCAAACTTATTAGTATTATTGGTTGTATTTCTCCTCCCCCTTTTCACCCAGCCCCCCCCCCCCACTCTCCCTCCTGGTAATCATTGCTTTAGTCTCTTTTTTATCTTAACTATTTTTTAAAAATATATTTTACTGATTATGCCATTACAGTTGTCCCATTTTTTCTCCCCTTTATTCCCCTCCACCCCTCCTCCAACCAGTATCCTCCCCACTTTAGTTCATGTCCATGGGTTGTACATATAAGTTCTTTGGCTTCTCCATGTCCTATACTATTCTTCACCTCCCCCTGACAATTTTGTACCTACCGTTTATGCTTGTTTTTCCTTGTATCTTTCTCCCCATTCTTCTACCTTCCCCTCCTCGCTGATAACCCTCCATGTGATCTTCATTTCTGTGATTCTGTTCCTGTTCTAGTTGTTTGCTCAGTTTGTTTTTGTTCTTGTTTTTTAGGTTCAGTTGTTGGTAGTTGTGAGTTTATTGTCATTTTACTGTTCATGGTTTTTGATCTTTTTCACTTTCTTAGATAAGTCCCTTTAACATGTCATCTAATAAAGGTTTGGTGATGATGAACTCCTTTAACTTGACCTTATCTGGGAAGCACTTTATCTGCCTTTTCATTCTAAATGATAGCTTTGCTGGATAGAGCAATCTTGGATGTAGGACCTTGCCTTTCATGACTTCGAATACTTCTTTCCAGCTCCTTCTTGCCAGCAAGGCTTCTTTGGGGAACTTCTTATGGGCACTCCTTTGTAGGTAACTGTCTCCTTTTCTCTTGCTGTTTTTAAAATTCTGTCCTTATCTTTAATCTTGGGTAATGTAACGATGATGTGCCTTTGGGTCCAACTTCTTTGGGGCTCTCTGAGCTTTCTGCACTTCCTGGAAGTCTATTTTCTTTGCCAGATTGGGGATGTTCTCAATTATTTTTTTCAAAAAGGTTTTCAATTTCTAGCTCTTCCCGATTTCCTTCTAGCACCCCTATGATTCGAATGTTGGAATTTTTAAGTTGTCCTAGATGTTCCTAAGCCTCTCCTCATATTTTTGAATTCTTGTTTCTTCATTCAGTTCTGGTCGAATGTTATTTCTTCCTTCTACTCTAAATCATTGATTTGAGTCCCTGTTTCCTTCTCTTCACTGTTGGATCCCTGTATATTTTTCTTTATTTCACTTTGCATAGCCTTCACTTTTCCTCTATTTTGCAACCATACTCAGCCATTTCTGTGAGTATCCTGATTATTAGTATTTTGAACTCTGCATCTGATAGGTTGGCTTTGTCTGTTCTATTTTTAGAGTTTTGATCTGTTCTTTCATTTGGGTTCTTTGTCTTGGCACACCTGTTACATTGTAAGGGGTGGAGCCTTAAGTGTTCACCAGGGCAGGGCAACCCGTGTTGCTGAGTTGTGGTGCTGTATGTGGGGGAGGGGTCTGAGAGGGAACAATGCCTCTTGCTCGGCTCTCTGCTGGCTTTGTCACTTCCCCCATTTCCCACAATCCAATTGGGCCCTTCTAGTGCTGATTCCCAGGTGGGTGGGTTTGTGTACGTTCTAGGACCCTGTGGGTCTCTCCAACGAGCTCTTCTGTGAGGCTGGGAGTCTCTCCTGCCGCTGCAACCCCCACAGGTTTTTACAGCCAGAGGTTTTGAGGCTTCATTTCCCTGCGCTGGAGCCCTGGGTAGTGTGGTCTGTCCCCTCCCCTGGTGCTCCTCCAGGTTCATCCACATGCAAATGTGAGACCGCATGTCCTCTCTGCCTGGCCGCCTGGCACCTTCCCTCCTACCAGTCTCAATGAATGTTTCTTCTTTAACTGCTTGGTTGTCAGACCTCCATACAGTTTGATTTTCTGGCAGTTCTGGTTGTTTTTTGTTTTTAAATTTGTTACTGACTTTCCTTTGGTTGTGTGAGGAGGCAAAGTGTATCTATCTGCCTGTGCCTCAATCTTGGCCAGAAGTCCTGTCTTAAATGTTTTTAAGTGCAGAATTCAGTAGTGTTAAGTATATTCACATTATTGGACACTAGGTTTTAAGAAGTTTTTTTCACTATATAAAACTAAATCTTTATACTCATTAAACAACTCTCATGTCACCCTCCCCCTGGCCCTTGGCAATGACCATTCTACTTGCTGTCTCTGTGAATTTGACTACTGTGGGTACTTTATATGAAGAATCATAGTATTTATCTTTCTGTGTCTGGCTTATTTCATTGAGCATAAGGTCCATAAGGTTCATCCATGTTGGAGCATGTGTCAGAGTTCCCATCCTTTTAAAGTCTGAATAATAATCCATTTTATGGAAATGCACATACACATTTTTTTATCCATTCAGTCATTGAAGGACATTCAGTTTGCTTCCACCTCTTGGCTATTGTGTATAATGCTGCAGTGAGCATGGCAGAGCAGACATCTCTTTGGGATCCCGTTGTTGTTTCGTTTGGATCCTACGCAGTCAGATGTAGGATTGCTGGATCTCGGGGATCCTCTGCACTGTTTTCCATGGCTGCTGCCCATTTTACATTCCTACACTCAGAATGTGCACTTGCAACACATTCCCAGGTAATGCCAGCAGACATTCAAGTTTGAGAACCACTGGATTAAAATGAGGATGCTGCCCTTCTCCCCACAAGTTGTTATAAATGTTGTCCTGCCTGGTTGCTCAGTTGGTTGGAGCATCAGCCTGTACACCCAAAGGTTTGGGGTTTGATTCCTGGTCAGGGTACATACCTAGGTTGCAGGTTTGATCCCCCGTGGGGTGCATGTGGGAGGCAACTGATGGACGTTTCTCTCTCACATCAGTGTTTCTCTTCCCTCTCTCTCTGAAATCAATAAACATCTCCTTGGGTGAGGATTTAAAGAAAGTCACTGTAAATGCTGTGAAATTTATGTAAGAAATTAATGTTGTTTATATTTTCCAACAGGTGAGCCGCCTCCTGATTTTGGGAGGGGCCAATGTGAACTACAGGACAGAAGTGTTAAATAACGCCCCGATCCTATGCGTCCAGTCTCACCTTGGCCATGAGGAGGTGGTCACTCTGCTCCTGGAATTTGGTGCCTGCTTGGACGGAATGTCGGAGAACGGCATGACCGCCCTCTGCTACGCGGCAGCTGCTGGCCACATGAAGCTGGTGTGCCTGCTGGTCAAGAAGGGGGCAAGGGTAAGCAGCAGCCTTCCCTGGTGTGTGGGGAAGTGTCGTTACTTCCTTGTTAGAGTTATTGACTGGGCCAGTCTTCCCTTTGTCTCTACTTTGTTGAATTGCAATGAATAGAAATCTCCCGTAAACAGAAAGGGCAGAGCTCAGGCACTGCTGTGTGATGTTGCCTGAGGCGGGGCTGGAGTGCGCAGCCATGGAGGCAAAGGGGCCTTGTGTCTTGCTCTTACCCTGCTTAACATTGCCCAGGGGAGGCAGCCTCCCAGGCAGGTCCCTCGCCACGGCCACCAGGGGCAGGCGAAGGGCCCTCCTTTCAAAAGCCTGTAGGTGTGGACCTGGAACTTAACTCAGCAGTGATAGGTTGAAGGGATTTAAATGTTCGATTTTTTTCTCACCTTACCCAATTTCATTTCATGCCTCTTTTTAAAACAATAAAATGAGTTCCACGGGTCTTAGCCCAGAATCCTCATCTCTCCAACTACCAGCTGGGATGTCAGGCAAGTTGTTGAGGCTGCATGGCTCCGGCTTCTCGTCTACAATGTGGGCAGAACAGCAGTACTACAGGCCGTTGTGTGAGCATTAACTAAGTCAGCGTGTTAACGTTTTCATTCAGTGAGTTACTGCAGGAACATCAGGGTTCCCAGATTGGATGAGGACAGTGCTGAGTGCAGAGCGAACCCCATGTGGTTCACTAGGAGCATTTCCTTGTGGCAGGGGAGGGAGACGTGCTTTGAATAACAATAGAAATAGATTGCTGATATTTGCCTTTATGTTAATCAGGATATTTAAGGTTCAAAAAGACATTAGACTTTAGTGACAAAGGGAGCCTTTTTTTGTTTTTTTCTCAAACACGCGACATTTGGAATGGCTGCACTTCAACTTAGTTCGTGGAAGAGGACAGTCACTGTTAAGCTCTCCAGTGGGCGAGTTCCTGCACGTCCCTACACCTCCCTTTCCCCATCCAAACGTGACCTAGCCTCATTCGGAGGCTAGCAGCCCAGCCTCCCCTGCCCTGCATCCCGGCTGAGAGGTCTGTAGGAGGAGGCCAAGGATCCGCATCCCCAGAATGTACAAGCAAGGAGAGGCTGTACTCTGCTCCTCTTCCAGCCTAGGATTCTCGAGTGTAGACAGGGAGTGGCACGTTGTCTGCTGCCTTTGGACCTTCAGGAGGCACGCAGACGCTCTTTGTGGCTAGCTGGCCTTCCCAGCTTTGTAGCCACATTTGACATACTGACTTGTCCCTGGTCGCCTGCCTGCATGGGGCCTCCTTCCCCATCAGACACCACTCAGAGTCTCTTCCTGACCGTACTCACTGAGAGCTGGGTTTTCCAGATCCAGCCCTCTTGCCAGCTCTCCTGGCTTAGTGACCAAAGAACTGCTCTGCTCCACCCCCATCATAGCTTGTCACAGCAAATTTAGAACGTTCCACTCAAGGGACTGGAGTTGGTGAGCACAGGCCTTTGGCTGAGCTTTTGGTCCGTGTCCTCACACCTGCTTTCCAGAGAACTCGGAGCTCCCAGTTGTTTGCTGAAGAGACACAGTGAGTGAGCAGGGTGGCCTGTGATAGCAAGTTCTACAAGGGGAACCCAGAACCTGGAACAGTGCATTCATCCTGTCGAAGTAATTCCAGCGGGGGTTTGGTGTATTCCAGAAAGACACACTGGAACAGGAACCTCATGTACATATGCTGTAGAATGGGGTTTGCACACAACACTTGGGTGGCACCCCTGTTCACAGAGAAAAGGTGACCTAAAGTGTGACTTTTCCTGCTCCTGCCTTCCAGCTGGACCATTTGGATAAGAAAGGCCAGTGTGCGCTGGTCCACAGTGCACTGAGGGGCCACGGGGACATTCTCCAGTACCTGCTGAGCTGCGAGTGGTCGACCGGCCCTTCGCAGCCAGGCGCACTGAAAAAGAGCCAAGCCCTGCAGCAGGCACTGACGGCGGCCGCCAGCATGGGCCACGGCCCGGTGAGTGAGGATGCACCATTCCTTCTTGGGAACCTGGAAGCCGTAGTCCAGTGGGGTGGGTACTGGTGCCAGTCACCTTCTTCTGGGTACTGGCCTGTGACGCATGGAAGAGACAAAAGAAAATGAGGATTTCAAGAAACAGCATTGGCTTGACCATGTTTAGCCACAGTCCAAGGCATTGGCACCCGCCCTTCCCATGAGTGGAAGCCCAGAGCCCCCAGTGTCAGGTGCATGTGCGTGCTCCCACGGTGGGGGCACACCCTCCCACGTGCCCCTCGTAACACTCGCAGTGTTCTTTCTCTGCTGTTTCTCGTCTGTTCCTCTCTTCCTTCCCTCTTATACTTTTAGCCTCTTGTCCTTCCGCCTTACCTGCCACCCCTCCCCCATGCCCCACACACACTTGGGTTCATTCTTTTGTCCTTGTGCTCTTTTAAAAAATAATCACATGGGATCTTAATTCTGAAGTTGTTCTTGAGTGCACTGAAGGATTTAAAAAGCACCCCATCAGCGCTCTCACGGCTTGTAAGAATGCCCGTCGCGGGCAGATCCTGCACCGGAGGAGACCTTCCGGCAGCGGTCCAGTAGGGCACACACTCCTGGGAGGTGTCGGCAGTCCCGCGTCTGAAGGGTTCGTTGTCATCTCCTGACCAGTGTGTCTGTGAGTGTAATAATGCCTTACCTGCCGCCTTCCATGTTCTTCTCCCCCTGTGTTTTCCTCAGGCAATCAGACTTGCCAGTATTTGGTAAGAGTTTTTCCCACAATGATTTAAAGTAGATTTGGGTGCAAAGCTGGCTGGCTGGTTGCCTGCCTTTTGGCATTTAAAACACAAAGGCAGCATACACAGCCCTGTGTGCACACACACGGTGCACACATGTTAAAAATACACATATACGATGTACATCGGCACAATATATTGCCACAAGTTGAATGCAGAAACGTAAGAGAATGCAGCTCTTAAGAGAGACATGAGAGATTTACAAAAATATGCAATAACACCAGTCAACCTCTGTTTTAATTTAGGAAGAAATACTTCCTTAAAAAACCATATTTCATAAAAATGGGTTAAGTTATATATGATAGGTTTATGATAAACTCAGCTTGTTTGAAAGCTGGCTGGGAGGAGTGCTGTGTAGAAGCAGCTTCAGCCCAGCCAGTAACCGCTTTGTGGAGAAGGCCAGGATTCATTCACCAAAACCCTCGAAGGGCACATTGTGCGGGCTTCCTAATGCTGCGGCATCAAGCGACCCAGATTTCAGAGGCTTAAAACAGCACACGCCTATTCTCTTAACGGACCTGGAGGTCAGGGGGCTAAAATAAGGTGTTAGGAAGCCAGTGTTCCTTCTGGAGATCCTCGTGGGGAAAGGTTTTTAGCTTTTTCTCATTTCTAGAAGCCACCACCTTAGCTTGTGGCTCCTTCTCTTGTCTTCAAAGTGCATCACTTTAGCCTGTGCCTGTCTTCCATCCCCTCCCCCAGGCGTGTGTTTCCTGTCCCTCTTATAAAAAAATGGTGACATCAGGTGTATGTGAGGTACTCACCTAGGTAATTCAGGTAAATTGTCCCATTTCCAGATTTGTAATCACATCTGCACATTCCTTCTTGCTATAGAAGGGAACATTCCCAGGTTTGGGGATGAAGGTGTGGACATTTCTGGGGGCATTGTTCAGCCTACCACAAAGGGTGCAGATCGGGAGACAGGAAAACGGCTTTGCCGTCCCCTTCTGCTGCCGCTGTTGCTCGGGGCGAATGCTGGCTGTGGTCTGGGCTCAGGCACACGGATTGTCCGTGAGCCAGGTTCTGCCTCCACTCCTGTGGTCCCACCTGCCCTTTGGTGGTGCACATGCCTGTATGGAAAAGAATAGCCACGCAGTCAGAAAAATCATTTGGACAGTGTTATTTATTTTATTGAAGAGATATGCATTGCCTTGTCTTCTTCCCTTGTGAAAATGGAGTCACCCTGTTCCGGCAATTTATGCAGAAACTGCCCTTTCTGTGATCTCCTGGGCCTGGGCCCTCTGTTGATGGGGCTGGCGTATCTGGGTCATGCTGGAATTCATTAAAATTCTGAGTACCTGTAATCCTAAACAATGTTGCTGAAATTCACTGAGAGATTTTTTTTATCCTTCCCAGAGCGAAAGTGTGAATAGCGTATGAATTATGCTCGAAAAGGTTTTCATTATATTTCTCTGCTTGTGCAGCATGAGCTAATCATGGTGAAAAAACAACACACTCTGTCCTTTGATACGAGGCCTCTAATAAGCACACATGGCTCTGAGAACTCATTAAATCGCCTTGCCACTCCTGACAGGTGGTCCAGTGCTTGCTGGGGCTGGAAAAGGAACATGAAGTAGACGTCAACGGCGCGGACACGCTGTGGGGAGAAACAGGTAATCACGGGTCCGCGGCTCCTGGTCTGGACCAGCCTGCCGTTTGGGTCCCACTTTAGCCTCACTGCCTTATGAATGATTTGGGGCGCACGTCGTCCTGTTGCTGCCTTACGGTGAGGCGTTTGAAGCTTACGGCTTTTAAAACTTCCCAAATGAGCAGTAAAAACTCTCCTAGAAGCATACGGAATTTGAATCTTTTCAGATTAGACTAGCAGTTCCTGTTAAACTGATGAATGTCAACTAGAAATAATGCATCTGATGAATGTCAGCCAAGATACCTAACAAAGGTATTCCCTTAACCTAACCAACACGGTCTCCTGTGAGCAGGGCAGGAACTTCCAGCCCCGGCTGCAGATGCCGCAGATGCTGATTGGAGAAAGGCTGTGGCCTGCCTTGTTGAATGAGAGCAGGACTTGGGCCTCAGGGCCCTACTTAAAAGACTGAAAACAAGCTACCAAGTCCATTGCTGAGGGGTATGCATGTTTCACCGTAGCAAGGGAGGGAAGCTCGCAGTGTGTCTTAGTGAAGATCTGAGTTGGCGACCTGTCAGCTTGATATGGAGAATGCCGCTTTAAGGTTTTCCATTGGACTGAATGGGTATTGGAATGTACCAATAGACTTGCAGGTACAAGTCATCATTGAAAAGATGCAGCCGGTGGTGTCGAGTGTGCATTTGCGGGGGACATACTTGTCATGACTTCCGCCTTCCCAGCGTAGATTCATTTCCACGTGCTTCTGAATTATTTCCTAACAAACCAGATGGCAGTGTGTACAGTTTGTCAGCTAAACTCATGCTTATGAAAAGTCTCAGAGAGTTTGGGGGTGGGTGAGGCGCAGGCCTGCACCTCAGGGCCTGGCACCCTCCCCGGGGGTCTGCCACCTGTGGCTGGCAGTGCTGGTGTGGTGCCTCGGGGAGGTGGCCTGGAGCTGGCTTCAGAGAACGCAGAACCTCAAACAGGGTTGGATTATGCTTGGGGCTAAGCGTGTAGACTTCAGTATTGTCCTTGGTTCTTTACGGAGTCTTCTGCTCACCCATTCACATGGTATAAGCTGCTCTACACTCTGAAGAAGAAACAGTTTCATCCACTTCCATCTTGTGTTGTGGGTGGCCGAGCAGGAAAGCGCGAGACTTCACTTTGTGCTGAACCAGAAGGCCCGCATCCCTGCCTTCTCATTGCCTAGCGTAGCCACTTTGGACCAGTTACTTTGCCTCCTTGGCAAATGAGGTGAACGGTATCTGCTTTCCAGGGTTGTGGCGAAGATACAGATTCTTGTCCAAACGTATCTGATGATGGGAACCCCGGCATGCGGGTGTCTAGACATCCTGATTTAGCAGGTCCAGGGGAGTCGGGACTCTTTCTTAACAGGCATCCCAGGTGGCATCAGGTGACTCGCGCTTCAGGACCCCGGTGAAAGCTGTGTGAGGTGTCCAGCTTGTGGCGACACAGACTGAGAGGTGCCCGAGGTGGCGATGGGGTTAGTGCTACTAGTAGCTAATGGCACACTCGGAGCCCAAATGGGAATCTCCAACCTTTACTACCGGCAATGATTTTTTCTTTCTGGAAGAAAGAAACAGAGAAGGACTGCCTTTGAAGGCTCTGCGTGAGAGGTCTGTTGTGTCTCTCGATGACCCGTCCTGAATTTTGGGGCCGCTGTCCCCCTCCCCGCCTTGAGAATCTGCTAGGTTGTGGCTGAAGAGTCGTGGAAGAGAAACACTGATTCCCATAGGTCTTAATGAAAAGATGAACAGCTCAGCCCCACCTTCCATAGTGTAACCTTCAGATCACTTGCAACCTAGAAGTAGTTCTCACCCTTCCTCAGCGGGTTTCAGGGTGAAGTTCATCAGCCAAGAGTTTGAGGGACTTTGAAAAAAAATTTTTTATTCACACCAAGAAAGAGTAGAGCACCATTTCTCAGGTGTGCGGGGCTCCGGGGGCTCTCTGTCCGTAAAGTCTGTCTCACCTTCTCTGTGTTCCCATCTGCCACCTTTCTCTTGCGTTCCTTCAGAAACGAGCACCCCTGTCTGCTCCTCTAATCCTCCTAATTTCCTGGTCTGTAGTTGTCAAAGAAGGCTGTACTTTGAAATCCTGCAGAGGAAGTTTTCAATGAGAACATCTGCAAATTGGGGGCGCTGCCCAGATCATGAGGTCCTTGTTTGGGATTCGGCCACGGAGGGCCCACGTTACCCAACCCCTAGGCCCCCAGAACAGAAGTCCCGGACAATGAGAGCATGGATGGGTATCAGCTCACCATCCTCATTCCCGCTGGGCAGCAACCTGACGGCGCCCTGGCCGTGTGGCCCACGCTGCACTCTGTGCCCTGCTTCTAATTGCTACGGACGCTTGGAAGTGAAAGCAGTTGTTTCGCTTCCTGGTTCTGTTTGGTCCTCATTGCTGGGTGTGGTCAGTGGTGCTTTGTGTCTCAGACACTCAAGAATGGAGCTTGTCTGTCTCCAGCCATGACTTACGGACAGGATCTTGAGCCTGATCCTCTCTGGAGTGTGGGAAGATGACAGAATAGCTGGAGGCTCTGTGTGAATAATGCAGTTCATTATTTGTCTTTGAAAACTTGCATAAGTTTATACCAGTCTGTCAGTGTAGCTTCAGCTATGAACAGCATGGCTTTAAAATACCAGCTGATGGGGTTACAAGGCAGGGTCTCCTGGGACTGTTTTTGGCTCACCTGCCTGGCTTTGAAGGGCTCATTGTTTTCTGTGCAGTGACACCGCCCTGTTTGGAGCACAGTCACCGGCCTGTCCTTCTCTGACAGCCACATTCCAGAAAGGGGATGCTAAATCCCTGCACAGAGGCCTTCCCACTTTTCTGCAGGGGCAGGCCTTTGCAGTCCTAGGGTGTGTACTGTATTCTGCAAAAGTGCGGTTGTTATGCCCAGTGCTGACTGGAAGGAGCAGGTCATCTGTGAGAGGGGATGACAGCTGAGGAGGGGGCAGAGGGAACGGCAGACCTGCGTGAGGCTCCTCATCATTCAAGTCAGTCCAGGTGGGGATGGTGGGAGTAGGGACAATCATGTGTCTTCAGTACCAGGTGAGTCTCCCTGATGATGACCCAGAGTCATCAGAAGTCATCACAGAAGTTCCTGTCTTAGGTTTGAAGAGACAAGAAAGCGTGTGAGATTTTAAAGGCACTCATGTAAAGTGGTAACAGTGTTCAGTGTAGGGTTTGTGGCAGTAAATCTACAGCTTTCAGAAATTGTAGACCATCTGTACCACCAGCTTTAGAGAGGTAAGTTTCCCTTTTCCCCAGCATCTGGGGCCACCTGCTCTTTGTGTCTGTTTGATGTTGAGAGCCCAGCCCTTCAGAATCAGGTCTTCAGTCTGGTGGTGGCTCTTCAGCGCATCTCCTCATGCTCACTTGGACGGAGAAGCCGTGGGACCCACTGGAGAGGACTGGCCTTGCTGGTGTCTCCACACCCAGCAGCTCTGCCCTGCAGCCTGCCCAGACCCTGTGCTCATGACATTCACAGGCTTGGTCAGACTGACTCAGTCTCATGGTTCTCGGGCAGCCAGAACTTGATGAGAGCCCGTCAGGTGCTCGTGTGCTCTCGGTTTTGGGCATTCCACGACCGTGACAAGTACATGCTGGCGCCCGCAAAGGCCCGACCTGACAGAGTTACTGTTCCCATGCTGGTGTTTGATGTCGATTAGCCCAGCCTGAAAGGATCAGAGATGCTGGATGCTTACCTGGTGACCTCATGCTGTTGTGAATTGTTGGACCGTGTTTCCAAACTCCAGGCAGCTCTCACACCTGTGAGCCTGCTGTTTCTGGTCCCAGCTGCTCACTCTCTGCAGGAGTAGAGAGGCCCTTCTACGTAAGCATTTGCCAGTGTTCGGGCAAATAATGCATCTTGTAAGCAGAGCCTTCCCCAGCCGACTCCTTTAGGTCATTCTGCATTTCCCTTTGTAGCACTTGTCACTTATAAATCTGATTGTTGTGCTGCTTATTTGGTAAAAGGCTGTTTCGCCCAGATTGTGAGCTTCAGCAGGGCAGAAATTCCCATGCCTCTTGTGCTCACCTGTGTGTACGGCGACCGGGCCCAGTCCGGTGCTGGCCAGTGGAGTTTTCTGTGATGACGGGGACGCTGCCTCTCGTGCTGTCCCACCTGGTAGCCACTCACCTAGTCTGGCACTTTCTCGTAGGCGTTGACCGAGTGGACAAGCGGGTTTACAGAAAACAAAGCCACGTAATTTTAGGGTCGGCGACATTCACTTTGCGTGATAACTTGGGAGACGTTTGGTTGTTGGAGCGGCAGGGAGGGGGCCGGGCCGTGAGTGTGGCAGGACGCTGGACTGCGTCTTCAGGGGCACAGTTATTGGCAACCCAAGGTGGTGTGGGCACGACTGACAGAGCGAGTTCTGGAGGCCCTGCCCATCCTTGTGTCCATGCCGGCTCCCTTCTTGCCCTACCAGCCAGACTGCAGGCCCTGGGATGTGTTGTCCCTTGGAAACCTTCCTAATGGCTCTATCGCTGGTCTGCTAACGGCCAGAGACCTGGGCTTTTCCCGTGGGCAGGGCGCCACCAGCAGGCTGCTCCCGGGACTGCCCTGCCTGAACTGTGGGGAGGGCACTGCCGCAGAGGTGGTTAGACGCATGGCTGAAACGCTTCCTGTAAGGGTTTCTTTATGTTGGCTGTGCTGTTTTAATTGGCAAATACTTTTCGAAGAAGGTTAGTCATCATACATACTATGTATTTTTTTTATGCTAAAGCTGTTAAAAGCACCTTTTTTGCCTCTACTTCCATGAAGGGCTGAATTTTGACCACTGTAAATTGAGTAGGTTACGTGGCCACATCGCCCTCCATCTCCGTAGCACACTGAAGCAGTTCACTGCCCTCTGATTCTGGCCAGAGACCTGGACGTGACCTTGCAACCCTTGGAACTTGGGTCTGAGGCCTGGCAGCAGGCCGGGGACCTTTCCAGGCCAGCCCTGGGGGAGAGGGCCCTCACACCTGTTTCCTCACTGAGCCATGAAATATTGTTGCACG